GAAAAATTACCAAGTTCAAATTTCCAGTCCTGTGCGTCGCTATTGAGGCTCTTCCCGCGCTCATCGCCCGCTTCCAAATTCAGTGCACAATAGCGTGTAAACTCTACACATGGACAAAGTAAAATCCGAGAAAAGTCGACCAGAAGCCAGGGAGGGAAGGGGTGAATGGCGACCAAATTTGGGGACTTCACTCTTCAACCACCACCCCCTCCTCCTTGACGCTCCCGGCCCGGGTATTTGACGGAAACTCGTCCACTTATCGCATGGAATATGTAGAACCGCACACAGACAGTGAGAAGCATCGTGAGGGCGTCGTGGAGGCTCGATGTGGCGCGTGTTTCAACCGTGTTTCAACGGCTTTCTTGTTTCGGCCATTCACTTGCGTGTACTCGCCTCGTCCTTGCAGATGCGACCGTGCCTCTTTGGCCACGTGTGTACATCTGTCAACTCTATCTGAATCCAATGCGGCGACGACCTGGCACGAACACTGGCATCAGGAACTTGACCAAGGTAAAACCGGCAGTTTGAAACAAGCGATCGTGTCTTTTTTTTTTCTTTTTTTTTTTCCATTCCCCAACTTGTGCCCTGCCCTGTGATTGCACGCTGCACGAGCCGCCCCACTCACACTGCAATGATGCCCCGTAGTCGACCTGCACCCGCGCCGCGCCGCGCCGCGCCGCACACGACCCTGCTGGCCTAGACTGTACGCTGTGCTGAACGAAACAATGACTTTTTTTCTCACTTCTCCCCCACATGTTGGTGATGGTTCCACAGGCGTCGCGACCTCACCGATGCTATCATCAAGAAAACAAGAGCCACTTCAGGTAAGTCACCAGTTCCCACCCAAGGTAAGTCAATGGGAAGCCGGCTCTTCCAAGACTCCAAGGAACTCCAGTGCCCCAGCGGCCTTTCGTGGTCCCCTCGAGCCCTGCCGCGGACTGCCTGCTTGGTACGTGTGGCAACATGCTATAATGATGTTGTGCAAGTGTCACTGGGGCGGGAAGACATGTCATGGTCGACTGGTTGGTGTGACTTTGGTTGGTGGCACCGACGCTGGGTGCCTCCACCCCAAAGGTCCGCCGATCGGCCGCCTGGCACTGTTTTAATGCACAACACACTTGTACAACATCACTGTAGTGTGGAGCCGCGGGTACCGGGCAGGCAGCAGCGAGGCGGCGGGCCCAAAAGCCCAAATGCGTCAATCTTCGGAGCCCGATAGCGGGCCTCCCGAGCGAGCTGCACCGTTCCTACTGTAGCAATAGATAGTTCATACTTAGCACTAGTAGCATACAACGTAGAAAGGGCGGGGCACCAATAGTACGGCCAGGCCAGGCCCCCGACCACCCAATGCCGCCATTGGGGTCCATTGCGTCCGCGCGCCTTCGCACCACCAGAAACGTGTAGCCAGTACCAAATCGAGTCGAATGTACTAACTGGCGGGACGGTAGGACTGAGTAGAGAGACGTAGAATTTTTTCCCCAGAACCGAACCGAAGCAAAAAGCGAACTTTGCGCCTTTACTGCACTTCGGGGTTTGGACCTTGCGAGCCGATTTTTCAAGATTCGGATCAGCCAAAGTTTGTTCTATCTAACAATGTAAAAATATCGATGGGAAGTATGCTGGGCATGGTGGTCATTTTTGGGGCATTTTGCCCCAGTCATTTGCATTACGTTCGACCTCGACCTCAAGTCCCCCCTCCACCCCACTTTTCGGCGCTTTTTCGATGTGACTATGTTTATAGACACTAATGAACATGTTTAGACCAATAAAACCATGGAAGTGCCGGAT